TTAAGCCCAGAGAGGGCTCCAGTTCCCAAGTCAAGCCCAGGGAGGGCCACAGTTCCCGAGTCAAGCCCATGGAGGGCCGCTGCTCCTACGTCAGGCCCATGGAGGGCCTCAGAACCCGAAATTTCCCCCAAGGAATTTTTTGGGGGGCTATACGGCTCCGGCCGTAGAGGCCTGGCCGAGTGCCGAGGCCAAGGCCACGGAGGCCACTCCGCCAAGGCCCCCTGAACTGTCTGCTCCGCCAAGGCCCCCTGAACTCTCTGCTCCACCATGGGCCCCTGAACTCTCTGCTCCACCATGGCCCCCTGAACTCTCTGCTCCGCCATGGCCTCCTGAACTGCCTGCTCCGTCATGGCTCCCTGAGTTGCCTGATCCGCCATGGGTCCCGGAACGTGTACCGCCCTGGAGGCCGTCCGTCCCATGTAAGCCTGTCCCCAGAGCGTCCACCCCCCCACCCCGTTGGAAGTTTCTGGGAGGGGGAGGTAATGTCACGGCCTTGGACTGCCCCTGTGTTCCGTGTCTTGTGTTTTGCTCCCCATGTTATCCCTGTGACCAAGTTTCTCCCCCATGTTGATTGTGTTCAGTGATTTCAGGTGTGTTCCATTGATTTCCTTGTTTAGTTCCTAGTATTTAAGTCTTGTGTTTTCCTTTGTCCAAAAAGGACAAAAGCTGTTCAGTGAATCAGTTCTTCAGTTCAAGCACAGGCCGGATGAGTTCAGCATCACTGCATCTTTCATATCAAACGGGTTAAACATCAGATGTGAGATAAACTTCAGTCTCATAGAGCCTCAGGACAAATGTAAATACTATAAAATAGTAAAGAAAAAAACATTCTTTTAAAAATGTAGACTTTTTAAAAATAATAACGAAATTGTATTTGATTTCAGTTGATTATTTTATTGCAAGTAGTTTTTCAATAATATATGATTTAGTTAACTATACTAACTGATCTAATCCCATCCAGATTCCTCACCATAAATTACTTATAACCACAACAATCAATTATTAGCAATTAATATTCATTAAAAACTCACAGGCTGTCATTGCAAATACAATTTTTTTTTTACATTTAAATAATTAGCATATAATATATAAAATAAATAATTATTTAAATGGTTAAACAAAGGTGAACAATATTTTGTGTTTCTCTCCAAGTAAATTCAGGTCAGTCAAACTTTTTCCACTATTATCTTTTTAATAATCAGTAAAATACAAAAAATAAATCAGTGCTCAGGAAAGATCATATGGTTTGATTTTGACATTCAATATGAGGAAGCGACATAAAGACAGAATGAACAGAAGATCTGAAACACACACACCTGAACGCAAACACTTCATCTACACAAACTTGATTTAATGCAGTGTGTTTGGAAAGGAGTCAAAACTCAACGGATCAAGTGCAGGTTTAACTCTCAGTGTTTGTTCTCACCATAAACCATCTTCATCTACACTCAGATTTCGCTTTCAGTCATGGCAGAGCAACAGTTTTAAGGGATTCTTGAGCTAGTTAAACTCTTGACATGTTTAGAGCTGTTACCTGAATAATATTAACTGAATAAAATGAATATATAATAATTATAAAATAAAATAAAACTGCTGAACAAAGGCCTCTGAAGTCCATACCATCCTAAAATAATAGCATAATAAAAATAAAATGTTAAAATAAAACTGACTATAAGCTTGGGCACTAACAAAATGAAATAATAAAAAATAAAAAAAATAATTAAATAAAATATTCCTCAATAGTCCGATTTCTCTTTCAGCTTAACTACTATCACGGCAGAGCAACAGTTTGAGAAGAATCTTCATCTGGTTAGTTAAACGGTTGGCATGTTTGAGGTTTGTATGTAACACGCATGCACTGCTGTAATGAACCTGTGTAGAGTATGTTTCCTCAGGAGCACCATTAGGGATGTCAGAGGAACCACAGGAATGAGCAGATCGACTCAGTGATAACTACAGTGAGGATGAGAGGCTGCTAAACATTCAGTGTTCAGTGTCTGTGTTCATGTGTGTGATTCGCTGTGGAGCCGCTGGAGGCGCGTCTGTCTGAAGGCCTGTCTGTCTCTCATCTCCAGAACACAGTCTCTCACGATCTCACTGAAGAGCGACGGCCAGAGCTTCTGCAGAGCGTCTGCCTTCACGCAGTGACCGGAAGCTCTGTGGATCAGCCCTCGCAGATACTGCTGCACCATCGCCGAGCGCTCCGACGCATCAGCACCACCCTCCTGACACACACACACACACACACACACAAACACACACACATCAGTGTGAGCTCACGTCTGACACACACACAGATCAGTGTGAGCTCACGTCTGTCAAACACACACACACACTCGCAGATCAGTGTGAGCTCACATCTGACACACACACACACACTCACAGATCAGTGTGAGCTCACGTCTGACACACACACACACACACACACACACACACTCACAGATCACACACACACACACACAACACACACACACAAACACACACACACACAAACACCACA